ATATTTGTAAATTTTTATCTAATTCTGTTATACTTTTTATATTAGAAAAGAAAAATTCTATTTTTTTTGTAACACACTGTATACACCACAAAAATAAACCTTACGTTATAAATCAAAAAATTGATCAAATAATCAATTTAATCGAGCCTAAAAAAGGCATAATAACAAACCAAGTAAACCATTCGGCGAACGAAGTTACTTTCCAGACGTCGAAAACTGTGGAAGAATGTTAAAAACTTGTTTGACAAAAAGGCCGGGCTGGATCTAAAATTTTCATTTAATCAAATGGCAACTGAAATCCGCGAGTTACGCGAAGGAAAAGGCATTGCAGCCTCCACGTTAAAAAACTTTTACAAATCTGAGGAAGAGCACACTAAAAGTTATCGAAGAATGGTTGGCTAAGGATAAAGAAATAGATGATAGTGACAATATTATTAACAATAGTGATAGTAAAAAAGATAATGAAAATTAGACTTGCACCAGAGTGACCAAAGAATAGGTGATGCTCATTGATGGCTTGGGTCCGAGTATTTTTCTCCCATGCAATCACTCTGGTGCTGCTTTTATTTATTTATAATTTCAAGAGCGATCGCATTCTGTAATTAAAGATAATAAACTTATGTCTACAGAAATCAAATTGTTGTTACGTTATTTGTCTCTTTGGTTATAATTGTATGAAAACTGTGAGACACGAATCAAGATGCTCAAGCAGTCCTTTATCAATGAATCAAAAGAGTCAAAAACTATGAGAAACAATCTTTCATTAATAGGTCGCTCGATCAGTAGTAGTAGAGGCCTTAGTGGGAAGCGTTTACACTAAATTTACTTACGTTTCTTTTAGTTTTCGCTTCTTTCTTGGTTTATTGTAAGTTGGGTTTAAGGTTCGTTTATGGTTTATTATTTTTCGTTCTTCTTGATAAATTTCATAAGTAATTTTTTCTTTGTCTAGATATTCTTGGAGTGTTTGGGTATCATTGATTTTAAAAATATAAGACGCAATTTTTTCTCCTTGTTTTTTCTTTAGAATGCTTCTAATGGTGCTGTAATTCTTTGGTTACATGGTAGATTTGATGTAAATTAGTTTCATATTTATATTTTTATATAGACATAATCCTATATTAAGCATATTGTAATTCAGGTAGAAATTTATTCAATAAAGTTATACATTTAAAACTGTAATTCACATATAAGTTACAGATGTGATAATCAAAATGCTATTAACCAAATTAGTTAACTTTTCACCACATCAGCATCTCATTATGTCACATAATAGAATGTTCACTTTGTCTGGTTTTGTTGCAGCATTCCCCATATATAATATAGTATGAATCCTTCCAAAAAGCCTGTAACTGTCCAACATTTATTTTTATTTTGTGTCTAGCTGGACCTTAGTTGTGTATTGCTGCAAGCATTTTTACAGACCACATTATTGTGGATCTATTGACAGATTTTGTTCCACTAGACCAACAAAGCATCCCAAGGAGATAGACCATATTGTTAGACTATTTCAAGCATGGAAACTTGCAATTATGGACTTGCTGTTGGATCTGCTTGGAGTGCAAAAAATTCTTGTAGTTACCAGAATCTTTTTCCATATCCAAACTCGCTTATAATAGATGATAAGAAAGTAGAATTCACTTATGGATCTTGGATGACAAGCTCAAAATCGATGTGCACAGCAACAATTTCAGATATGGACATTGATACAATTGTTAAATTTACAAAAAATTACTGTGGTGATGCACATAAGTTGTGTGCCTCTGAAGGTTTAGCACCCCAATTATTTTGTGTGTATAGGAAGATAATACCAGGTTGGACAATGGTCATCACGGAGAACATTAAAGAGGCAAAGCCATTACATGAAACTACATTTAATTTGAAAAAAGATCAAGATCAGGTGTTTCAAGATATCTCTCTATTACCTGGTATCCGCCCAAATAACATATTGGTATATGAGAAGGATCAACTAAGACAGGCAATGCTTGTAGATTTCGATTGGGCTGGGTTTGCAGGAAAAAGACTGCTATCCATTATTTATGAATCATGAGAATATTGACTGGCCAGCTGGTGCTGAAGATGGAAAAGTTTTGCAGAAAAACCATGATGAAGCATGGCTTGAATGGTTGAAGAAAAGAATTTTCTCCTAAATATTCTTGTATTAGCATTTTTGATGTAGTAAATACCAGCATTAGATTTAAATTGCGGGTAGATAAAAACTTATATGATGATATCCTGCGTTTTTAATGTGAGCAGAGCTTATCATACAAGCTATCAAAAGACTTTGAAAAATCTCTTGCATTCCTAATGTTACGGCGAGCTGATCTAATGAATCAGATACATGAGCCATGGTCGACACTAATACTATTTTAGTTCAGTTTCACAAAAAGCATTAATTTAGTAATAACAGCGTTTCGAAAAATCCGCAACGGCGCCATGCTACATTAGGAATGCGACAGCACAAAATGCTATAATTAACCTATATTTAAAAGTGCGTTGCGTTTTTTCCGCGACGCTCGAAGATATATAAGTAGCTCATATTCCATTGCCAAATCTTCATGTTGTCATGTTGTTGCTTATGTTGTGAAAACATCGAAAGTTGAATAAATAAAATATTACCGATCTTAGTAATATTCTCCCGCAATTCTTTATTATAAATATACATTTTATTTCTATCGTCGAAATAATTGATTATTAGGCCGGACACTCCAATAAACGGCTCACTTAAGCTGTAACGGAATAGCA